CTCTCTCTCTCTCTCTCTCTCTCTCTCTCTCTCTCTCTCTCTCTCTCTCTCTCCTTATCGTCTCGATAATCGAGACGACACGGGCGGCCGGCAATTACCGGTCACCGGAAATCCGAACGTTTTAACGCGACGCAGCTTTAATAATGAGCCGTGCTTCCGCCAGCCGGTTCTTTCCTTCGAGGAACTAAGCCGTGCGTCTTTATTCGGAATTTTCGACTATTTTCAAACTCGCGTTATCGAACGTGCGGGATAAAGTCGATACGTAGAATGGTGCCGGCGTGATACGTGCTATTCGTGGCTTCTCTGTCTTTCTCCCTCTTTCCCTCTCTCTGTCTCTGTCTCTCCCTTCCGCCGCTTAAAAATTCACATCGATGTAATGCATACCCGGTGAGTCGTTTCAATCGTCGCGTGCATAGGGTGCGGTCAGGATACGCGCGGACAACGTTTATAAATAACGCGGTGAATAACGTCGCAACGAGATCCCCTTTAATTATCGTTGTACGAGCGAACGGTTGAACGAACGTTGCAACTTGCGCGGAAATTCAATCGCCGCTCTTTGCGGAGGCCCTTACGCGGGCGCGCTTGTCGAAACAATGTGTCGACGATATTTATATGTATCATCGATCGGTAAGAAGCGGTCGCCCGGCGAAAATGCAAATACTCATCGTTATTTCGTAATAGCGCGTGCGGAGTCGCAATTCGGAACGTTCCGTCCCGATTAATGCCACGCGGACGTGTCGTTGACTCGTTAACGAAAAATTAATAGTTAACGATTTTGCATTTTCTTGAGGCTGCAGGAGCCGTGACGCGCCGTTGTAATTAATGTAACGCGGTGCACAGGCGGCTTAGTAACGCGCTTACAATGAACGATCGATCGAGTCTATTTAACCAAAGTCAATGACGGCGTCGATGCACGGGATAATTTCACGTATATAGCCTACTCCACTACGGCGTGACGAGAAACCGCGATTCCGCTTCGAAACCTCAACGGAGTTATCTTTTAACGTGATTTTCCCGCGTATCGATTTGCGACATTAAATTTCCGTTTGCCGAGAAAGCTGCGCGCACGTGTATTTTTAGCGAACGAGTCCTCGTTTGTGTTACACGGAGATAAATAATAATCGTGATATAATAAAGGCAACTCTGCCTCTCTTTTTCTCTCTCTTTTTCTGCGCCTCTCTCACTCTATGTGTGCACGCTCGCGTATATCATCTCACGTTAATAGTCGGTTGCAGCCGCAGCTTTGATTAATTAACACCGATTAGGAGGCGTCTCTTGGTCCGCCTTCCCCCGGTTATTACATGTAGTCATTAACGTTCGGAAAGTTCGTTCAACCGCGTTCAATATTAATTCTCCTTTAAGGATTTTATTCACCAGGTATGTGTATTCTCGGGGCGCTCAAGGGACGCATTTTCAGTGGTGCATATCAAGGAAGCTGCTCATAAATTTCCTATTTATGCGGACAAAATTATGTGTTTACATGTTTATCTCGCTATCTAAATAATGCGTGTTAATTTGAAGCTAATTTCGTGACACTATTCCTCGCCACGTTTCACTCGCTATAAACGGTACACGCTACACCCGACACACAACGCTACTCTGAGTATAAAACCTGCGGTTTTCTGACCCAGTATCGACACAAATTACACAAAAAGCGGTGTAGCGAATAATATTCTTTCTTCCGTGCCACGTGTCTAATATGTAACATTTATAACGGTAAGATTTTTTTATTTAAATGGTATATCACTTTTTACGAAGTTACATTGGAATAGTTACCTATGTTATTTCTACCATAAAATTACATGCGCAAGTATTCAGTATATTAAATTTCTGATGAACGATGCAGACAAATCAAGACGAATCACGAATGTGTTTCACTGCGATGAATGTTAAATTTTTGTTAAGAATGTTAAATTGTATAATTGTAAGCATTGTGACGAGTTGGACAAACTCGTCGCGGGAAAAGGATGATGAACCGCACCGGCGAGTTCGTCTAATTTTTCTTTCTCTCTCTCCCTCCCTCTCTCTCTCTCCTTTCTTTCCCCTTCCTTATCTTTATCGCGACAGATAGCTTTCCCGTGTTTGATCGGCGGGGGTAAGGGGGTGAAACTCCATTATCAATATCTCCGCTTTACCGTATCGGCACTCGTGCAATAGCGCGTGGCGGAAGGGAGTAATATCGCGTTCGCGAAATAGACACCGTTTATTATTCGCGTCATTATACGGCAAACGCGAGCGATTCGCGTGTAACAGCGAGCCGCCGCAGCAGAAATGCACATATCAGTTTTGTGGTATTGAATTCCTCTCGGCTCTCTTTCTCTCTCTCTCTCTCTCTCTCTCTCTCGTGCACACGTCCGCGATCTATGCCGCTTCGCCGCGCTGCCCGGTCCCCGCCGGCTGCGCTATAACGGAAATGGCCGGTGGGGAGGTAGCCGGACACCGGAAGTTATATCGGTATAGGCGGCGCGTGTACGTATACACTGTCCACGGTCATTGCACGTTTTAATAGTGCAAAAATGATACGTCGCCATTGCGCGGACGGTATCGGCAATTACGAGCGGAGACGTCTCGTCCTGTCCCGTCACGGCGTCTCGTTTAGCAGCTCGTAATCCCGACACTTTCTTCGCCCAATGCGAATGAGCCGCGCGTGATTTTCCCTCGGGTTAAATTCCCGACCGATGTGAGTGTTCACGTCGGAGGGAGAGCACGGCTCTCGCGTCTATTGTCGCGAATGGAGTATTGCCACGGGAGAGACCGTTTCCACGCGCATGGAAATTTTAAGCTGGGTGATAGAAAGTGATAGAAAATCGTCTCTTTAAAATTCACGGGTCGAGTTCTTTCTGTCTTTTCTTTCTCTCCTTCTTTCTCTTATAACGAGGTTACCCGCGCGGACTATGATAATATATAATGAGGCGACGAATAACCGAGATATGCAGATGTTGCGCTCGCATCGATTGGATCGCGCTGATAAAGATTGTAATTCGCCGTTTCCTGCTCGCTCGTCCCTAAGCCAGGGCGCCCCTAGCGCCGTTTTCAAGGTTGGTTATGTAGAGAATTAGATGTAGAGAATCCTATCACCACCCAAAATATTGACTTCTCTCCGTCACCCTTAGGACACCCTGTTTGCAATGCAAACAGATTCTTTTCGTTGTCATATGCGTTTACATTGTTATGCAAGCACAAATCTAGAGATCGCGCATACCAAGTGTCTTACAAGTCAATGGATGCACGCGAACGTCGATCGATACAACGCGCGCGTCGTCTTTCAATATCTAAAATCGCTCTTCTTGGAAGCCGCGCAAACAGTTAAATTTATTCTATATAAATATCCGCTCTTTCTTTTCAGGCCACGAAGGAATTTATAGAAGCGGTGAACAAGTGCAGAGCTGGAAGACGGGCTGGCCCAGTGTCTTGGAGCACAGCAGTGAAATTCTTGGCGGCGCGAAAATTCGAGGTACAACGTGCTCTAGCTCTGTACGAGCAGCACGAAGCTACCAGGAGAAGAGAGGGACTAGCAGTCTTGCATCCTACTCAGGAACCTTTACTCAGCGAGTTACGCACAGGAAAATTCACTGTCTTGGTGAGTGAAACGAGTAAGCCAATTATAAAGCGCGTGCACTCATCGTCATAAGTGCAGCCGGAATTAGCTTGTGAATGAATTGTTTCAGCCATCAAGAGACGCAACAGGTGCAGCGATAGCTATTTTTACAGCACACTTACATCTTCCACAAAATACCACGCACCAAACAACTCTACAAGTAAGTTCTACAAAGTGTACTTTTAACAATTAAATGCGAAGAAAAGGAGAAGTGTACTTTATAAGTTTCCTTCCCAAAAATGATCGCAAATATCTTTATTCTAAAAAAGTAACATGATACAATTTTTAATACGATGACATAATATACCTTCGTGTACTTTTAACAATTAAGCTAGCGGCATATTTTGCTTGTTTTCATGCTGGATTGCTTGTTGATTGGTGCATTTCTGAAGATGGATGGAAATGCACCAATCAAAACAGAGTATTTCCATCCAGCAAGCAACCCAGCACGAAAACAAGCACTGTGTGCCACTGGCTTTAGATGTGAACAGGAGAAGTAATACTTTATAAGTTTCCTTCTCGAGTGACTTCAAATATTTTTATTCCATAAAGTAATCTGATAAAGTCTGCAATAAAGCAATAAATAATGTATCTTCGTCTTGTGTCTTTTTCAGGGTGTTGTGTACCAGTTAGACGCTGCTCTCGAAAGCGCAGAGACGCAGAAGCATGGTCTAGTTTTTATTTATGATATGTCCGACAGCAAGTACCAGAATTTTGACTATGACCTGTCTCAGAAAATTCTGACACTTTTGAAGGTAAGCTCACGAACATATTGTGAATGTTAATGTGAGGGAAATGATATATTTGCGGAGGGCAGGAAAATACGAATAGAAAGTCAAATACAGCACGAAATCAGTCATGGTGGTTCAAAACAATTCACACTGAAATATTCTCGTTAGAAACACACCTGGAATGTACTCGCGGGGCTGTTTCACGCGTTTTGCGAAAGATGTGATACACGAGTTGATACCTAAATAATCGAGTAAGCGCGAAATTTATTTCCGCTTATTTTCGTGGAGGAGATAACATGTATGTTAAGAATTTCTCCACTTCCTGTTGGAAAACCGCTGCGTGATAGCATCGTGCGGAACATCGCGTTTCCTTTTTTCTGTTCCTCCCAAGCACATCGTATTACGTCGGATTAGATCGAAACTGCGATTTTTCTCAGTACATCACGTCGATTTCCACGGTGTTTTCTCCCGAGATGTTCGTGATACTTTTCGAACGCGACACTATTGAGCGCGCAGCGTACCGATTTGCGCTCGTCCAAGCGGAGCACCGTTGTCAAGCGGGGTTAGAAAGCGAGAAAAGATCGTAGTGTAGAGTGAGAGAAGAGCTTGGTCCTGCGGCGAATGTTCATTATATATAGTAATACACACTCTCGTCTCTCTAACGCCGCCAACTTGACAGAGATGCTCCCCATAAACGTCGTTTGATGCATGAAAGAAAATCGCCGTGCGACTCGTCCGAGTCTCAGTCGGAAAATAAATGCAAAAATAATCAAATTATCAGTCGCAGCAGAATGTATTCGTCCACACTCGCGTGTGCGAAACAACAGTTCTTTTCTCATCGAGAATATACAGGGTGTCTGACGCAAGACGCGACGACGCACGTGTGCAAATAGAACACGTCAAGCAGAGAGCGAAAAGATCCTGTCATCTTCTAAACAACCACGCAAAATTTCGAGATGTCAGCAGAAGAAGATTAACGAATCAGTGCGCACGACACTGTTGATTTATTCTTTTCAGCTGCACTGGTGCAATAAGTTAAAGTGAGAAAAAATATATTTGTCTTATTCTAACTTATTGCACCAGTGCAGCTGAAAAGAACAGACCATGTGGAATGAGCTCATTGAAAGTGACCGAAAGCTGCGACTGTTTATTAGCGACACGCGCGCACGTCACGTCGAGAAACAATTGTCTACGTGTCGCTCGTATCATTACTCCGCCTTTTGCTACCAGCCGATACTCACCGTTGCTAAGAGACTACCGAAAGTCTCGGCCATTTTCGATGAGATCGTGTCTGTGGGCTTCGTCCCACAACGTCACGCGCTCTGATTCGCCAATCTTCTTTGATTGAAGGATGCCAAAGTGGATGGCGAACTCGAAAAATGTCGATGACGTAAAGGCGATCATCTAACACGAGTTAGGCGATGACTAACACGATCACGCTGTCCTTTTCGCATTTCTCGTACATATGGATTTTACATAAGTGTACTGCTTATTTTATTGTACTAGCAAGACACATAACTTTTCGTGTACTTTTGAGTTTCTATATTTAGTTGCAAAGATAGAGAAATGTTCCTTGAAATTTTCGTTATTGAAATAAACACACGTGCCATAAATATTTACTGCAAAACTTTCGTGTATCAAATAAATATTTTCGCCAACTGACAGTTCGAGATGTCAATTTTTAAATTTTGTATCGTTTTCGCCACATATCGTGAGCAATGCTCCAATTCATTATTGCATGTACTTTCAATGTGTAAAAGTATTTGCAATTCTGTGCGATCAATACGACGTGAACTTTGCAGAGAAAAATCACTATTTTGTCGACAGTTTTCGAGTACGGCACTCCCTTGACATCTCAAAATTTTCCGTGATTATTTAAAAAATGATAGGGGTCTTTTTGCTCAGGTTGACGTGCTTTATCTGCACACACGCGTTGTGTTTTGCGGCGCAGACACCCTGTATTGTAATGTTCGCGTAAAATTATCGTCTCATTGATCGCGTCTCGGGAAGCGCTTGCTCGAAACTTGCAAGACTGACGTTATATCGTAGAGCGCATCTTTGTTCCAGCCGCGGTTTGAATTTCTCGACCGTATATAAATCTCATTGCGGCGTACACAGGGAGAACGCTGTACTTTCTGCGCTACTGAATTTCTCCGGACAGCGGCATACAATAATCATGCGAATTACGCGAGCACGAAGAAATGCCCTTAGCCGACGTTTAAATGCGTGGTCCGATTAACATTCACGTTGTGTGCAATTTCGTCCGGCTGCCGAGCCGAGCAGAGCAGAGCGCGGAGCGGCATTACAGTTATTACCGTCGCTGAAGTTAACCCAATTAGTCATCGCCGGTCGAAATAGTCTCCGTGCGTTAATGGTTTGATGCGGTCAGCCCACTTACTTAAAAAATGGTGTCATACGCGATGTATCCGATTCTCCTGGCCCGCCAAATGCAACGCGCTTTAACATCGTCGTCGTTGGAATATATTCGCAGCGTCCTTCAACCTGAATGATCAGACAGATGATTTTTGTTCTAAGAGTTGGTCGCGTTTTTCGAGAGAAAAGAGACGTTCAAGTTTATATACGAGAATCTTTTACGCAGAGACTGAATCCACACGTCGTGTTGCGTGTTCGTTGTTGCTTAATTATCTGCCTCGTCGCACGGCAAGATTTTTTTTTTTTAGATTTGCGCTCCTCAATGGAAGAGGAGCTGGCCGCAAAAATCCGAATCTGCTTTTAGCGCACGGGTGATGCAGCTCAAAGAGCAGCGGGGTTCAAGGGTGTTCATGCTTCGCGAAAAGTGGCTTGCAATTACGCGACGAAGCGCACCAAAGTACGGCGTGTAGGGTAACTTTCAAAGGTTTCCTAAGAACTTCTTTCCTCGGCGCTACGTCATAGAGGGAGTATACGTGTAAACGTATTTCTGGTGCATTCATTAAAGATATTAAATAACGTGCGGAGGCGGTATCGCGCGCAGGACGAGTCTTTCATACCTCGTTTTTCCTCTTTCTATGAAGGAGATATTATCGTCGTTCGATATTATCGGAAAGGCACGAGGGTGTGAAAGATCGTTACGCTACGCAAGTTAATCGGATCCTTAATCGCCCAGTGAACCGTGATTCCACGGCGCTTGGTGACTTTTATAATAAAGATTCCGGTGCGCAGTGACATTTACGTGCACGCCATGACGCGCGCGCAAATTGCTTCCCGCGTAATTGTTAAATTCGAGTAGCGTGTGTCTTGTGTCATTAAACGCATGCACGGAGAATCCTGTCTTTCATAATTTCAGCTCCGCGAGTTAAAATAGAATCTATCTGAAATTCAAACTTGCAAAATGTGAAAAAAGCGCGTCACAGAGAAAGAATAAGAAAGAAAAAAAAAAGAGAAAGAAACGCGATATTTAAATCGAAGATCGGCATTGCGCTGATCGTCTTCCTTTTCTGACGGCAATCGTGCGTGAATATTAATCATCGGATAATTGCGCAAGTTCGCGGGATCCGATCAGCGGATATATCTCTCTCTCTCTCTCTCTCGCCCTCTCCCTCCCCTCTCTCTCCCCCCTCTCTCCCCCTCTCTCTCTCATCGTAATTAGCGGCGGCGTTAACTGATCAATTATATCGGGACCGTCGGCGAGTTTCGCGAGTCGTCGGGATCTCCGAAACTGGAACAAGCGCTATCGGGAACGCGCGGGTGGCGGCGGGGCCGCGGCGCGCGGTTGAGAGACACTGGCGGGCAATACGTCAGCGCGTATACGGTTGCTGCACCTCGCTGCCGGCAGTAAAAAAGGAATTCGCGTAAGGGATGTCGGTGGTGGTGAAAAGAAGGGGTCGCATGTAGTAGAGGAGCGCGGCGCATGCGTCCCCGCTCCGGATAACGTCGCGACGCTGGCGGTCAGTAATCATCGTGACCCCCTTGCGGCACCGTCGTCGCATTCGGATACGGTACGACCCGATTCCCCGCTCACCCTCCCCGTCCGTTCGATCGCGTCCTTGTTTGCGTGCGATGCCAGCATTTTTCTTTACCGTGCGACGGCCACGACTTTACCTCGACGACGGCTACGACGCTGAAGTCGTTCGTATTTGACCTCGCTGCCGAATACGCGCCGTTTCGCGTCCGCGGTTATACTAATCTCGCGTTATCGATTAACTGACCGAGTGCCGGCTGTGATTTCGCCTACTACCGAGAGCTCGTCGTGTCGTCCTTTCTGGCCTGGGCATCATCGCGTGCCCCGATTACCCATGACGAATCCGTGCGAGTGCCGTAGAAACGCGCTAACTCGACAGATCCTGTGCCCGCCTCCGCTGCTGCTGCTGCTGCTGCTACTGCCGTCTCATTGATATCGACGCGGCGGCGATCCCGCGATTGACATGCCTGCGATCGCGCCCGCGACTCCTTGCCTGCGACCACCGCTCTGCGGCTCACGGTAAATCTCCGACTGTCAGCTCGACCGATCGATCAGACAGCCGATACTTTGTCACTTTACGTCATAAGTATAGCGTCGATGTGACGTGAGGAGTGGATTTATTAGTAGTCGCCGGGGGAACATTACGCTCGACTCGGCTAATCCGAGAGTTATATTTGCGAGCTCGTGCGATCCTAAAATATACGGCGCGCTTCTCGGCGGAACTTCGGTTTCTTCGGCCGGAACAAAATCGTCAGTGTGCCGCCTGCCGCCCTCGTTACACCTCCTTGCTCTCTCTCTCTCGCACCTCGATGATGACGTTTGTGTATACGTAGCGGCTGTTACGTATTATCGCTGACGGTGATAGTCACGGCGGTGGTGGTGGTGATGATGCTGGTCGGTGGTGGTGGTGGTGGTAGTGCTGCTGACGTCGTTAGCGTTACGGTACTTCCGCCCTCTAGTCCGTAGCCAAGGGGTTGAGTTACTTGGCTTTCTGCGCTGCTACGAGTCACAGCTGCGAGATAGCCGCTCGACGCGAGTCATCACACTCTCTTCGCGGACACGTTCATTCACGGAGATTCGCCTTCGTCCCTCGCGTTCGTGTACATCGGACATAAGCGCAAATGTCGAGCGTTCGCCGATTAACGAGTGAGAAGTATAGCGTTGACGTAGAGGATTCACAGATAGGACATTTCCCGGAGTGCTCCGATCCTACGGTAAATAGATAGGCGTGTGATCGCGCGCCCTTCGCGCTCGAAGCGTGTCTCTACATCGAGTACGCGGTCTACAGTTGGCAGTCGGTTCGCTAATGTGCAGTATACGGGCTGTTCTATTATTGCAATGCCTTTGAAAGGTCAAGCGCAACTGTACTTTTAGAAATTATTCATGCAATAACGCGAGTCGCGTTAGCGTAACTGCTCACCAGTATGACATGTACGTCATTGCGGGAGATTAGGAGAGTTTCTCGGTTTAATTCAACGATGAATTAAAAGAAAGTTGTATAAGGTTACAATTGCGAGGAAATAAGATTTACCGTAAAGTGAGAAGTATATTTTGCGTACATGTATAATGTGACACAGAGAGTAGATGTAATTTAATATTATATATCTTATGGTATCATTCAACTAATCATTTATGCTTGCACGATTGTTCCAGGGTGGTTATCCGGCGAAACTAAAGAAGGTCTTGATAGTAACGGCACCACTGTGGTTCAAGGCTCCCTTCAAGATCCTTCGATTATTCGTTCGTGAAAAACTGAGGGATAGAGTATTCACCGTGTCTATCCCTCAGCTGACATTACATATCCCCCGGGAATCATTACCACATCGTTTAGGCGGCACGTTGGAGGTACAGCATGAAGCATGGCTACTTCATTGTCTTAAATCCATGACAAACCGAGGAGGGGGTGAACTGTGTGAGGTCAGTATAATATTTGTCATGATAAATTTGACAATACGACAAACTCGTGTAGCATAATCTAAAATATTTTGTTCTGATCGCATTCTCGTTCGGATAAGATATACAAATATTATTCTCAAAGACTTTTATTTAACATGCGTATTGTACGTATCTTCAGGTCACCCCGAGAGTGGGTACACCTGTCTCGCCCACGGCGAAGAATCATACAGTTCTTCAAAATCCCAATGGGACTACGCACAGTAACTCGACTAGTCCTATAATCGATAAGAACAAAGTGAAAAATGGTGTGTCGAACATCGGCGACATCGAGATTACCGCGAACGGCGATGTCTGGTTGGGCACCGACGAGGCACCATCCCCAGTTCAGCCTCCGTCCTCGGCAAGTTCCGGTTTTAGTGACGATGATAGCCTTCACGGGGATCTCGGACTACAGGCTGTCACAATGGAACAGTTTATAGCCGATATACACTCGAGAGGACGCGCTGGCCTCATAGCGGAATACGCGGAGATTCGACAGAGACCGCCAGATGGTCAATTTAACAATGCAAAGTATGTGTCGCAAGTGATATTCAACGTTCGCATGATACACCTTGCTTATACGCGCAACATTAATCAATACTTCTGTAATGTTCTTGTTTTAGGTTAAAGTCTAATCAATCAAAGAATCGCTACACCGACGTGCTTTGCTACGACCACACCAGAGTTTGTCTCTCACAAGTGGACGGGGACGCTACGTCCGATTATATAAACGCGAATTTCGTCGACGGTTACAAGCAAAAGAATGCGTTTATTAGTACTCAGGGTCCTCTTCCGAAAACTTGCGGTGATTTCTGGAGAATGGTCTGGGAACAGCAGACGTTGGTCGTCGTCATGACAACAAGGTACATTATAGATTTCATTCGTATATTAGTATTGAATTGGTATTATTCCTTTGGTATTGAATTCGTATTTTGCATACATTAACGTTTTAGAAATCTTAGAATTGTTTAGAAATCTTGCATGTAAAACCTCCTAGTTTCATATAAATAAGATAATGAAATATGTTGCTCTCTCTTATTCCAGAGTGGTGGAACGAGGCCGTACGAAGTGTGCGCAATACTGGGGTCCTGAACCTGGTGATGAAGTGCAAGCGGGTGGCTTTACCGTCACAACTCTCGAGGTCGACACGAATCCAGACTACACAATATCCATGCTTCTCCTTACAAACAATAAGGTACAGATCTACCTCGATACTGCTCGATTGTTACAACATTACGTTTCATCGTTTGCTCACATCTATACCGTTCTATTCTAGACTGATGAGACGCGAGAGGTTTGCCATATGCTGTACACAGCGTGGCCGGATTATGGTGTTCCTCAGTCAGCAAAGGCTTTATTACAATTCTTATCATTAGTGAGACAGCAACAGAGCAAATTACTCGCAAGTAGAGGAGACACATGGGCCGGACATCCACGAGGACCACCTATAGTTGTACATTGCAGTGCGGGTATTGGGAGGACAGGTGAGCAGATATTTATTTGTAATAATCTCAATTGGTCACATAAAATGTGTGGCAAGTACGGTGATTACCTGTACAGCTCTCACAACAATTTAAACGCTTCTATAAACATCACATTGTGTTGTTCCAGGTACATTTTGCACCTTGGATATTTGCATATCGCGATTGGAGGACACCGGAACCGTGGACATCAGGGGAACCGTCGAGAGGATCAGAGCGCAGCGGGCCTACAGTATTCAAATGCCGGATCAGTACGTGTTTTGCCATCGCGCATTGGCGGAGTACGCGCTTTCCAGAGGAATGCTCAGCGCGCAGCATCTCGCCATGTTACCTACGCCGTTCGACGAGGATTCCGATTAAAGTACCGCGTGCTCTGCTATCATAATACCGGATTGATGTTCTTCCCGAGTATGCATATATAGTAACCTCAAATAGCCTATTTCTACCTTAAACGACTGAAAGTTATTTTTTTTTTGCTATCATCCCGGTCGATGTAACGGTCGGACTTCTCGCTATTTTCACGTCAGTCTCAAAAGAACTTCCGATGGAGTTAGATTAATTCTTTTCCAAGGCCAAACTTGCGAGCCCGGGAATTCCTCCTGCATTTCTGTTGCTCGCATCTTGCTCCGACGAATCCTACATAAAGGCGCGTCAAAAGACGCTAATCAAAGATTAGTATCTTACTAGTGAAATATAGAAATCTGGCGCGAAAAGAATTCTATTGATTCTATCTTGACTCTCTCAGAAATTGTAAATTGCGATTCGTATCCGGAGACCCGACAAAATGGGCAGCTGTCAATCTGCCTTAAGGAAGTAATCAGCAACGTATGGATAGAAGTTTTTTGGATAACCAAAGATTATCCGCTACACGAGTTTAGAAAATTGAGAACTCAAGTGCATGTGAACTTTGATTATCAACACGCGTGGCAAATTCCGTTTTACAGGGATTACTAATCAGGGATCATATTGTAGAATAAAATAACTTCCGACGTGACACTAAAAGTAACGAAGCCTAAAATGCGGGGCTTTAAAGATTTAATTAAGCCTTTACGTTAGTGTGAAATACAAAACTTCCAGTTTGTCTGACAATTATATATACATATATATACACACGTCAGTGTATGTGTGTGTATATATATATATACACACACACATGTGTACATATATATATGCGCTTCACTATGGAAACTTAACGATTAAATCATAACGATTAAAGATCGTATTACATCTGCAAGCATCAAACGTTTGAGAACATTTTAAAATCTAGATATTAATAAGACTCTAATTAACACACAGTGACAATGTAAATTTTAACTTCAACGGATAATATATAATAATTAAACGAGAAGAAAGGAAATATATCGCAACATACGGAATACGGAGAAAATATAGAGACGTTATATACTCTCTAGATAATTGGAAAGTTGACGCGTTGTTTAAACATGGATTAATTTTATATATAACTGCGAAGTGATAAGTAATTCTTGACGATAAAGGTTTCACGTTTCCAGGGTATCGCGAGATGTGTATCTTTGGTTCTATACAATATTTAATCCTAGTAAAACGGTCAAGAGAAAGAAAGAAAAAAGAGAAGAGAAAACGCGGAGAGGCGATGACGAGAGCTTTGGAAGCGAACACCCCCGCTCGTGGAATTGCTTTCGATCGCCGTTTCGCGCTTCTCGTTTTCGTTGTTATCAGCTAAGAACTTTCAGTGTGTGTACACATAAACTACGGATATATGTTACACGAGATCCGTCTCATTCGTACGCAGTAAAAGTACTCGGAATCGTTTATCCGTTGAATGTGCGAACGAGACCTCTGCAAGGAAGACGAGGGCGCGTCACACTGTCATACGTGATGCAATGTCGACGATGTGACGGACGAATCGTTTCTTGCACAGGTCGCTCGGTGTTGTTTCGTAAATTACGAACTTTATCGTGGCTATATTATGATATTAGTGTCGTAAAGCATTGTGATAGTTGGTAGAAAGCCCACGAGAATTCGTATTTCTCTATTCTTCCAAGTACTGCCATTGCCAACGCTGATTTCTTACTTCTAATCACGCTGATGACAAACTAAATTCTCGCGGCATAATTACGATTACGGCGAGACCGCGCGCGTATATCTCTACTAACTGTAATACTTCGTAATAATTTATTAACATTGAGTTTAGGACACGGTACATGTAGTGACGATGCGACGGGAGTGCTCTGCTGGAACTGGTGCACGCTTCTTCGTGCTAAAAGAGCGTTCGGGCGGTTTGCATCCCGAGGCGTCGTTCTCACGAACGTCTCGCGTGGAGTCGCTGCAACACGGAATGTCGCGGTGTTAACGGTAAAAACGATAACGAGCGAAACTGTTAAAGGTGTCTTCGAATTTTATATGAAAAAAAAAGAGAAAAAAGAAATGAAAAATGTACACTGTTGCGTACCGCGCGGAAAGCTTAGTCACATTTAAAATAATTTATCAAACTTCAACGTAATGCGTAAGTTCCTCCTACTCCTAGGTTACCTACGAAAGGGCATGTTATCGATATTGATTATCGTTTACTGTTTTATTTTTACGTCTATCGTATTGTATAATCAGCATTATTCCTCTGTATTATCTAGCTATTTATTGTATCAATTGGCGATAAACGCAATCGTCGTGTATCATGGATTTGTCAATCTCCACTCTAGAAGATGTCATTCGCTTCTTTTTTCTGGCGTTTCTTTCTCTTTTTTATTTTTTTTCCGATGCATGAGTAACGGATATGTGTTGATTTGGTGTTCGACTGTCTCTATTGGGTGTGAATGTGAAGCGAGATTTTATAGCTATTTTTCGTGTGCGCCTCTTTCGCGTCATATTTTCGTAATAATGTAATAGCGTCATCACACACAACCGCCCGTATGTGAATGATAAAAGTCGTCAGAGCGAGAAAGTTCCAAAGCTTCGTGAGACTTGCACACAACAGTTGTTAATCGCGGAATAACGAACAATTATAATACGTTAATACCTAAACGTGTTCGAGTCGCTGCGCACGAGGAACTTTGGAACTTGAGAATAGGTAGTTTAAAGTAATCGACTCAACAGTATTATGCCTCACAAATGTTCACGTTTCTTTATGTTGCGCTAAATCGGTTTACTCTGTCACGCAATTGCATCAGATAGTTCAGACTTACCGTCCATCCTTCTAATTTTTAGATTAACAAATTATTTCGAATGTAACAATGTAAGAACATTTAGAGTGAAGAACAATTTTCTAAACGTGAGTGAAAATTGTCGACGTTAATCACCGAATCGTTTATACAATTAGACGCGCGTGTTTAATTTTAATTAAATTATATTCACAATTAGTTGCCACGCAATACTTGTGACCAATATATTATATGATACGCGACATATTTAAAATTGATTCGAAAAAAAGGGAAAAAAGTTTTCACCGAAAAAAAGGGAAAAAAGTAATTATTTACGTGCATTTTATACACATCTGAAAGATACATTTGGACTGGACTGTAACTCTCAAACTATATCCTGCATATTTTCATTCCTTTGACACGTTTCTAAGTTGCGAGCAACTTTTACGTGCGAATACGCTGTCATTAATGCGATCTTGCGTTTTGTCTCAATTATTTTGCGCTCGTAATGCACACGCTATATTGTGGACCTTGAAAATTTCGGCGTTACCGATGCTACACATCTCTATCGAAGGTGTCGATGGACAAGAATAATAATTGACTAATTACTTGTCGTTGTACGCGATAGTCGCTCACTTTTGTATGATAATGCGAGATCGAAGAAATACAAAAGCGAAAAGAGCAACAATAGAGGAAACTAATGTCTTATGTGTATATCTGGTACATGCAACTCGTGTCATAATAATTAAGACTCATATAACGAGATTGTTAAAAATATTACGAGATGGAAAAAGTACAGTGGAGAAAGAAAGAAAGAAGAAAAAAAATGTATATAGAAATATGAATTTAAATTACTATCGCACATAATTGTATCTAATTAATAATTATTTAATATATTGCAAATATAAATGGTATAAATCCTGTTGTTTTATTACATTTAGTCACTCCCAATTTAGGAAAGAATTGATTATATAAGTTTATCATTATAGTTAAATGTTTATTAGAGTTGTGTTATAGCTAAACACACATAATAAGAAAATTATAATTATTTAAAATATTAGAAAAAAGCAATTAGAATTATTCCCTTCTTTATCGTAATGCGCACGCGCGTTTAAAAAGAAATATGGCGGTCTGTTTGGTATAAGGTATGTTCGTTTTCGAAGAACTTCTACACCAGTGCAATAAGTTAAAATGAAACAAGTATATTTGCTTTCGTTCTAACTTATTGCACTAGTGTGCACTTAGTTCAGAAGTTCTTCGAAAACGAACAGGCCTCCAGTTATGTTGTTTACATTTTGTTCTCGCTTTTTCTATCTAAAGTCTAAATATTATATTTTGTTTTATGAACAAGAGTTATAAAGAAGTAAAGTTAAAATGAGTAGATTTAACATAGTTTTCTATTTAGATAATTTTAAGAATTTTAGGAAAGAATAATTTATTGAGTCTTTTTATTGCAATTGCACTTTCTCTATAAATGGTTTTTTCCTCTTCCTTGTAAGATTGAATCCATCTGTTTTATTTTAATTGTAGAGTGCAAGAAGTATATAAAACAACAAAACTATACCAGACGGCCGCTGATGAAGAGCGTCAGTTCCTAACCTATCATAACCTATAAAAACTTGCAAAAGAGGAGTCAAATATGTCACGTCGCGACACTAGTAATGACAGCATGAATAATTTGCTAAATGAGAAAAACATTGATCTGGAAAACTATAGGAAATTGGTTAAATCGTACATCGACTTGGTAAGTTTCGTTGAATAAAGTAATATAACGAGTTTATAAGGATATACCTCGAATGACTTGTATTTATTTTTTTCAGCATCTGTATAGTGCTGCTTTATTTTGGGCTGATAAAGTGTTGTCACTAAGTAACGAAGATCCAAAGGATGTATGCACTTTAGCACATTGCATGTATCTCATGAAACAGTATCATCGTGCTGCGCACCTTATAAGGAGACATGGTTTAGAGAAGGTATTTTCCATAAAAAGTGAAATCTTTTTAGAAAACAATAAGCAATTAACTCAATTAATGAATAAAATAATAATCTGTTACCACAGACTGATGTAATGTGTTATTATTTAACTGTGAGGAGTTTACTAGAAGCTAAAGAATATAACGAAGCGCTTCAAGTTATTAGTGAATCTGAAATATGTACAAACATGACACAATCAGGCATTACTTTTACTGATCGCACGGATATTCTTCAGGATGCTCCAAAAAATGTAAGTATATATCTATACACAATGTATATAAAGATAAATATATATTTGCAATAATGCAAACATAATTTTGACTCTATATTTGCAGTTACAATATATACATTATAATTTATAATAACTATTTTATAATTTTTTATAGGTCCAAAGTGCAATACTATATGTGAAGGGAAGAGTATACGAAGCTATGGATAACAGAGCAGTAGCAACAGAATTTTATAAGCAAGCTTTGCAGTGTGATGTCTACTCGTATCAAGCATTTGAAGCTTTGGTGCAAAATCAGATGCTCTCAGCTGCTGAAGGTACTGATTTTTAGTAGATTTTTGTAGTATATTAGTAAAAACAACGTATGCATGTATGTAATAACAAATTGTTAATTCAGAGAGGGAACTCCTGGAGTCCTTACCTTTTGCTGAACAATGTACTGAGGGTGAAACAGAACTTTTACGACTACTTTATGAGAGTAAACTGAAGAAATATCAAGAACCAAACAAGAAGCAATCATTAGTTACATGTAGTGTAATGGGAATTTGTATCTCTGATAGATTAGCAGATAATTTAGATATGGAAGTTACAAAGGCTGAAAGATTATATTACAATTGCGAATATCATCAATGTTTTGCACTTACAGAAAAGTAAGTTACATTCTTGCTGTAATATTATTCTCGTATTTCATAATTGCTAACATAAAATTTTTTGCTTGCAGAATCTTGAGAAAAGATCCATACCATAATTCCTGCCTTCCAGTACATATTGCCTGTTTAGTTGAATTGAAAAAGACTAATGGTGAGTCTATATTTTGTTGTGATAAATGAACAGCGTTAGAACTCTTTAACAATGAAACTTTATTTCGCAGCTTTATTTTATCTGGCACATAAATTAGTTGACTTATATCCAGAAATGGCATTGGCATGGTTCGCAGTTGGATGCTATTATTATAGTATAGGTAAATTATAATTTTATTATTATTCATCAAATAGTAAAAGAAAGAACATTATATGAAATCGAAAATTGTATAGACAAACGAAACAGTTGAAGCTAAATAGCATTGTTGCCTTCAGATAAGAGTGACCAGGCCAGAAGATATCTGGCGAAGGCTACAGCTTTGGACAGGCTGTTTGGTCCTGCTTGGCTGGCATATGGACATTCGTTCGCAGTAGAAAATGAGCACGATCAAGCAATGGCCGCTTATTTCAAGGCATCCCAATTAATGAAGGGTTGCCATCTGCCACTTTTATACATCGGATTAGAATGCGGCTTAACAAACAATATAAAACTGGCTGACAAGTTCTTTCAGCAAGCTCAAGGAATAGCACCCAACGACCCGTTTGTGATACATGAGATGGGTGTCATATGTTTTTACAATTTAGAGTAAGTGTTATTGATATGCGCTTAAAATATCACACAATAACATTTGTAGTTTGAAACATTGAAACATTTGTAGTTACAAAAACGCGGAACGATTATTTAAAGAAGCAATGAAGAGAATCCAAGGCGATCCCAAAGATGTGCTTCTACCCAGTAAGTGGGAAGCTCTACTGAATAATTTAGGTCACACATGTAGAAAGATGAAGAAGTACGAAGAGGCATTAGGATATCATCAGCAAGCATTAGTTCTGGATACCCTAAACCCATCTACTTATTCGGCGATTGGATTTATTCATGCACTAATGGGCAATACTCAAGAAGCAGTGGATGCTTTTCACAGAGCACTAGGTCTTAGAAGAGACGACACGTTCACCACAACTATGTTGGGCTACGTGATGGAACAAATTATCGAGGAAACACTACCATATCCAGGTATGTATACAGTTGAACTTTATGGAAAAGGCATTGGCGTGGGAGAAATGAAATCTTGGCTGCAAAAAAATTTCAAATATTTATTCATCTTTCTGCTTCTTGTGTTATTACACTTAAACTGTAGCCTAAATTTTCTTCGTCGTCATAAATTCTCGAATTTAGTATTAGATTGATTGAAAAGATCATTCGTTTCTTTGCCATGCAAGTTTTATGTGAGTGGAATTAAAAGTAGAACGTTTTGATCTACCTGATACAACTTAGAATAGAATCGTACAATTAGCTCACGAATAAGATATTTTCAGATGCACCTACCGAAATACCAAAGTACAAGTCTGCGAATAGCGAAGTTAGCCTGTCTGTGGAGAACTCTAGTAACGTAGGCACTTCTGACGACCCGAATATCGATAAATTAAGAGTAAATCTATTCTCTGGATGGAGAGAGAATTCCAGCAAAGGAGAAAATAATACGTCCGACAAGCTGGAACGTTCGCAACACGTTTCCCTCGTTAATTATTCGACCAGTGACACTTCCGAAGTCGAAATGTTAGATTCATCCACCGCACATATAGAGTATAACTAAATGTAAATAGTGTACATACTTTTTATACATATTCTAATTTTGATATATCTCAAAATATGACGAATTACAAGATTGTTTATATTATAGGCAATTCACCAGCTTATAACGAATCTGTAGCTTGAGAAATTAAAATAATGTAGATATGATTTCTATTAATTAATTCTACAATGTACAAATTAATTGGATTATCAATGTGAAGAGTAATTAGTGAATATCTTTAGAATGTCTTTATTTACCTTGAATATCCATGTATGCTTTTATTTAAGCTTCAATCAAGAAAATGTATTCAATTTGTGTGTTTCATTTTCACACAAAAGCAAGCAATATCCTCATGTTGTACAAAACCCTTCTCTAAAAAACTCCTGGTCCTCCTTATTTTCAAAAAAACAAAAAACGTAGAAAGTGTGAGTAAAATGTAAATAACCTACGAGTACGCAGGATTCTTACATGGGATATGCGCGTTTGCGCAAAATATTCAAAAGCTACGTAGAGCGTGCATGCGTGTATGTGTGTGCGCGAGAGAGAACGAGTGCGGAAGTGGAGTACTTCGTTCGGAGTGTAGTAGAGCACGTGGAAGAATGGGCGTTCCGTCATCACGTCATTGGCGATAAACGTCGTGCGAGAACCCGGAGTACTTATTATTCTGTTGATCGGGAAAAACGACAATTGGCGCGGATGTACGGGGTCGATCGTAGGTATTGGCATCGTTCTCGGGGCGATTCTCTGGTGTAGCAGTCTGATATCGCCCCCTTACCACCACTGCTGCCGCCGCCGTTGTCGCCGTCGCGCGTGTTTGTCATCATTCGCGCGTAACTTTTCGCGGCACGCGCGACGCGAAGAGAGACCACTGCTCGTGTCACGATCGAGTCGCGTTGTCGTTAGCCGGTCGTCGAGTCGCGGCGAATCTCTCACTCGCTCGTGTTCCTCGAGATCGTGCGAGAGCGGGCGAGTGAGCGAGCGAGCTGATATCTCACGTTATTATCCCGTCGTCGCATCGTCCTGCGAGTTCTCGCGCTGCCTCCTCGCGACAGGACCTTCCGTGAATTGCTGCGGACATGCCTATGCTGATGCAGCCGGTAAGTTTCAGCCGTACGTCTCTTACGCGTTCTCTACGGTATTAACTCGATAGTATCAACATCGGGATCTAGAATCACGCAGTTAGCACCTTCGACTTCAGTGCAGAGAGCTAATGAGTTTTAATTATTGCAGTCTTGGCCCGAACGCCCTTCGTATCGCGTAGGTGCTCGTTCAATGGAAAATTGATAGAGTTGCAAAGTCCGGGGGGAAAGAGAGTGAGAGAGAGAGAAAGGAAATTGAGAGATAGCGGTTAGCAGGAAAAAACAATCCACTCCCGGCGCGATCACGATCGCCTTTTTCGTTCCCGGCGATCCTGATCTCGCGATCCTGATCTCTCGCCTGTTGGCGCATTTCTCAACCGGCTCGTTTATTAATTCGACCATGACGACGCGAACGCACATATCCAATGGAATGTGTCCTGCGTCGCGCGACGTAAATAAACACGCGACATGTTGGAGTCGCGCGATATACGTGCGAGGATCTTGTCCTCGCGAGTATATTCGTAAACGCGCCCTCTGAGATTCCTTCGAAGAGATCCGCACACGCGAGGTGTGCGCGAGAGGGTGAAAGGACGAGAGGACGAGCGCGAGAAAGAGAAAGAAAGAGGAGAGGAGAGAGGTAGACAGAAAGAAAGATCAATGCACCGCGCGCGATTGCCAAAAATCTGGGTCGATCGATCCGCAAGGACGAGCCGTTAATTGCACAATGTCTGATGAATCGACACGTGCTCTCGATTACGATGCTTTGACTGCGCTCAATCAAGTTCCAATCATTGATAGGCACTTGGTAGTTACTTGGCACTCGGTTGTCACGTAAAGCTAATTCCATCTCTCTCTCTCTCTCTCTCTCTCTCTCTCTCTCTCTCTCTCTCTCTCTCTCTCTCTC